CGATTTTCTCAGACCCCGATAACACAACATCAAACTTCTCGAGACAAAGGTACGGCAAAACGAATGTCAACACACCGAAGCGGTATTGCTTTAACGGTCCCACTATAGTTAAAGCAGTTCATACATGAGGGGTGGGGGGGGTCTGGGCCACCCCCCACTTATTGCAGCATTTGTAACCCTTGCGGAGCCATCCCAGCCCCTTCTGCACGCCGGTGTGACGCCACAAATAGCAACCCTCCCGTTTTGCAACTGGGTGCGATTTCTGCCACGCAACTTGACATCTGGGTTACTTGCTACCGCCTGGTCCATGGGGTTGCGACTCAGGAGGGATGGGGTATGTGGTCGAAAACACTCCCGATCTGCTTCCTGACCAGTGGGCCCCCCAAGCCCAAGGTGATAGCAGAGTGGCCCCTTTCATTGATCTGCTTCCTCCTGCCTAGCATGCCCCAGAGCCCAAGATGAGACCAGAGTGGCCCCTTTCATTTTTTCCACTGGCTTCCTCCTTGCTTATTTCCAATGACTTGGCTGCTCATGCATCTGTCACTGGTCCAGGGAGGGTTGCAAAACAGGAGGGATGCTGTTTGTGGTCGAAACCACTCATGATCTGCTTCCTCCTGGCTAATGTGCCAAATTGATCTATTGGACGATTGAGGCGCGCTGTTTCACTTTTTTGTGTGTGAATCTGTGAAAAGGGAGGTAAGGTTTGGGGGTTCAGAGCACACCCCTGAGCCCAAGGTGAGACCAGAGTGGCCCCTTTCATTGAATTTGTGAAAAGGGAGGAAAGGTTTGGGGGTATGGAGCATGCCCCCAAGCCCAAGGGGATACCAGTGTCCCCTTTGATTGATCTGCTTCCTCCTGGCTAGCATGCCCCTGAGCCCAAGGTGATACCAGAATGGCCACTTTCACTTTTTTCACTGGCTTCCTCCTTGCTTATTTCCAATGACTTGGCTGCTCATGCACCTGTCCCTGATCCATGGGGTTGCGAATCAGGAGGGATGGGGTTTGTGGTCAAAAACACTCACGACCTGCTTCCTCCTGGCTAATGTGACAAATTGATCTATTGGACGATTGCTATATCCTGAATAGTGGTGACTGGGAATGGGGGGGGGGGGGGGGCGGGGAGTGTAGCAGATGCCAATTTGAGGTGAATATTCTCTTGGCCAGATTCTACTGGGTTTATGGTGCTTTGTGCTATGGACTGGAGCAAAGTGGCTGGTGAATAACCAAGAATCTGGTTAATAATTATTCTCTAAATTCAGCTTTTTTCTTTCTCTCTCTCTGAATTATCACTAATTCAAAATAGTAGTGTGCAAGTTGACTGGATAATGGTAATAGCACAATCTCTTGTTATAACATTGTAAACCTTACTACCTGATTTTTATATTAAACACTTACTATACATAATACAATAAATCCCTGATGTTAGAACCTGGCTATGCCGCTGCTGTAGAGGGCTCATCACCCAGCAGCTGGGGGCCACCATGTGGGCTCGGCAGGGCTGCTGGCCACAGGGCCAACGGGTGTGGGTGGGATCTCGGGATTCACGTCCCAGGGATCTGCCCCACTCTCCAGCACTGCTCCAGCTCTGAGCTGTCTCCACTGCCTGGGACCTGTGGGGCCCCAGCTGCATCCCCAGGGAAAGAGCCACCTGGGACTGGTGCAGAGGCTGGGCCAGTCTCAGCCAGTCACAGGGGATGGCGGGGGGAGAGGGGGCGGCTCAGCTGGGTCCTGCCAGGCATGTGGGTCCTGAGGGAGCCTGGCCCGGGTAGGCTCTGCTCCTGCTCCAGCCTGGCTGATTGCACCCCCAAGGGCCGGAGTTATCCTGCCCCAGGACCAGCTCTGGCTGCGCTGCCGGCTCAGCCTGGCAGACACAGTCACCTCCCATCAGGGCCGGCTATTGTGGCTGGGGGTTAGGGTGTGGGAGAGTAGGTCTCTAGTGGGTCTGGGGGGGTGTGCTGTGCAGTGGGGGTTGGGGAGATCTGTGTGTGTCGGGGTGCTGGGAAGTGTGGGGGGTCTGTGCGGGGCACTGTGCAGTTGTGGCAGTGGGGCGGTGGAGGGCACTGGGCAGTGAGGGAATCTGTGGGGGGGCTCTGGGCAGGGAGGTGCAGGGCACTGTGCTGTTGTGGGAGGACTGTGGGGGGGTCTCCAGCTAGGGGGCACTGGGCAGTGAGAGGATCTGTGGGGGGGGGGTCTGAGTGGGTGGGGGAGTGGTCTGTGGGAGGGCACTGGGCATGGGGATTTGTGGGGGTCTCTGGGTGGTGTGGCACTGGGCATAGGGAGTCAGAGGGGTGCTGGGCAGGGGAGTAGCATGGTGCAGCATGGGACTGCCCCGAAGGGGAAGAAGCACGATGGGAGCGCAGGGCCGGGCTGGCCAGTGTGCGTCTGGCAGCTTCCGGTTTGTAAACAGTGCCCTTGTACTCCGCTGAGTGGAATGGGGCTGTCCCTGCCGTGCCATGACCCATCTCATCTCCCATTGCCCCCAGCCAGCCCGTCGCTCTGAGGACTCTGCCCCCCTGCCCCATGTCCCCATTTCCCCCATGGGGGCTCACAAATATGGTTAGCACCAGGCCCACAAAAGGTTAATCCAGCCCTTTTTGGGGTGCAGGCTCTGGGATGCAGGAGGGTTGCAGGCTATGGGGAGTTTGAGTGAGGGGTGCAGGCTCTGACCTGGGGCAGGGGATTGGGGTACAGAAGTGGGTGCGGATATGTGGGCGCTGGGAGGGAGTTAGCAACTCAGCATGTTATATAAGAGAAATGAGCTGCAGTGAGTGATTTCATATAGACATAGAAACTGATAGAAGACACTTTTACATATTCAAAATGTGAGAGGCAGAGTTTGAGGGAGGGAGTGTCTGTACAATATTTCACCGCATTCAGTCTCCTGGCTGGAGCAGTAACGTAGCCCTGCACAGGGCTGCCCAGAGGATTCAGCGTCCAGGAGTGGCGTTGGACAGCGTTGGCTGCTCCCAGACGGGGCGGCCTGAGACACAGGGGCTTGGGGGAAGACGGAGGCGGGGGCAGCCTCCGATATACTCGTGGGGGCCCCTGTGGAAAATTGCCCCACTTGCCCCCCCTCTGGGCAGCCCTGGCCCTGCATCACTTGTATAGGATAGAGAGGAGCTGTGGTGATTAAGCTTTGACAGGCTAGGAATTGGAGGCCTGTGCCTTTAAGACCCCAGTCCCAGGAACCCGCCCCCTGCTCCGGGGCTGACATGCAGCGTCCTGTGAGCAGAACGAAAACCTCCTCTGCACCCCCACACCCCTAGATTAGCGAGCACAGTGGGTGCCTCATCCCACGGGGTCACTGTTCCCCCCTCTCCCCCTCCCTAAACGGGGGTTTTGTCCCTGCACGGGGTCTGGCAGCGTCTCCCCCAGGCTTAACCCCAGCTCCCACCCCCGAGTTTTCCCCTTCAGCCCCTCTTTTGCCGCTAGCTACAGTAGCTTGAGCCCCCTGGCCAGTAAATGTGTGCCCCCTGCTCAGACCCTGACAGCCCCCCCCCCCGCTGCGCTTTGCCCCCCTTCATCCTTTTAAACCCCTCCAAAGAGGAGGCAGCAAATCGCAAGTAGGAGTAAGGGCAGAGAGAGGGCAGTGGCTACAGCGAAGGT